GTATTCTTGCATGCTCTCCCCTCGCCGGATGGACCAGCTGCGTCACCGCCGGACCCACGCATTTCTCACCTCTTGGACGAGTATAGAGACGTCTTCGAGGCTCCCACCGGAACGGTTCCGGATCGGCCCATACGTCACGGGATCACTCTCGAGGCTGGCGCCGTCCCTCCGCGTGGATGTATCTACCGCATGAGCGAAGAGGAACTCGARGTGCTTCGCGCACAACTCGATGATCTTCTCAACAAGGGTTGGATTCGCGCTAGTTGCTCGCCATACAGTGCACCTGTTCTCTTCGTCCGGAAGAAGGACAAAGATTTACGGTTATGTATCGACTATCAGAAACTTAACGCACAAACCGTAAAGAACGCCGGCCCTCTCCCTCGGATTGATGATCTCCTTGAGCGGTTAGGCGGCGCGACGTACTTCTCGAAGTTGGATTTGAAGTCAGGTTACCACCAGATTGAAATCCAGCCTCAAGATCGGTACAAGACCGCGTTCAAGACGCGGTACGGGCATTTTGAGTGGGTCGTTATGCCATTTGGACTCACCAATGCCCCCGCAACGTTTCAAGCGGCGATGACGACTGAGTTTCGCGACTTGCTCGATCGCAGCGTCCTCATCTACCGTGATGATATCTTGGTTTATAGTAGGACGTTGGACGAGCACATCGTACACCTTCGCGTTGTTTTGAATCGTTTGCGACTAGCCAAGTACAAAGCGAATCTCGACGAGTGCGAATTCGCCAGGCAAGAGCTTGAGTACTTGGGCCATTTTGTCATGCCGAAAGGCATTCGTCCCTTAGCGGACAAGATCCAAACCATCGTGGATTGGCCGGAACCCCGTTGCACTACGGATGTACGCTCTTTCATGGGTTTGGCTGGATATTATCAGCGATTCGTCGAGTCATACTCGAAAGTGGCCGCTCCTTTGTCGAGACTTCAGTCCCCGAAGGTGCCCTTTGAGTTCGACGACAGCCCGTGGCGCATTCAGTACGTTGAAGGCAGCAATGCAAGCCGCACCTGCCCTCCGTATATACGACCCCACCCTACCCACCCAAGTGACTACGGACGCTTCGGGATACGGTATTGGTGCGGTGTTGGAACAGTGTCACGAGGACGGTTGGCATCCGGTTGAGTATTTCTCCCGAAAGGTGCCTCTCGTCAACACTCTCGAGGACGCTAGGAAGAAAGAGCTACTCGCGTTCGTCACCGTTCTCAAACGGTGGCGCCACTTTCTTCTCGGCCGTCGGCGTTTCAAATGGAATACAGACAATAATCCGTTGACCTTTTATAAAACGCAAGACACGGTCACTAGCACGATCGGTCGATGGATGTATTACATCGACCAGTTCGATTTTGACCTGTGCTACATTCTCGGTCCCGCCAATCGAGCTGCGGACGCCCTCTCACGACGGCCCGACTTATGCGCCATTGTGACCGCGGCATTCGACCTCGATGACGATCTGCAGCCGCATTTCGTCGAAGGCTACAAGTCCGATCCGACTTACTCTACGCTTTACGCAGAGCTTTCATCGGATCACCCGCCGGCTAGCCACTATCGGATTTCCGACGGGTTCCTTCTCCTTCACTCGAGAGGAAAGGACTTGTTAGTTGTGCCCCAAGATCGCATCTTACGGACTCGTCTTCTCGGCGAATTCCACGACGCACGACTTTCGGCACACCTTGGYGTGAACCGCACACTAGCACGCCTCCGCCAGCGTTTTCACTGGCCCGACGGCCTTCATGACGTCACGAGGTACATTGAGTCATGTGCAGTTTGCCACTGTAACAAGGGTCGATCTCGAGTCCCCTTCGGCGAACTGAAACCGCTGCCGATTCCTCGGGCACCACGCCTCTCCATTGCTATGGACGTGACAGGCACGTTTCCCCGCGATCGCCGCGACCATGACGGTATTCTCATGGTCGTTGACCGTTTGAGCAAGTATGCTCGCTTCCTTCCTTGCAAGTATCATGCTGCAGCGCCCGAGCTCGCATGACTCTTGCACACCGGTTGGATTACCAACCAAGGTGTTCCGGAAGACATAGTGAGCGACCGAGATACTCGTTTCATGTCAGCCTTCTGGACTTCCCTCATGGCTGAGTCCGGTACGACAATGAAACCGAGCTCGGCTCGGCACCCGCAGACGGATGGTCAGACGGAGCGAGCACACCAGACCGCTGAGATGATGTTGCGTGCGCTCATCCGTCCCGACCAGAAGGATTGGGTTGACCGACTTCCCGACATCGAGTTCGCCTACAACACTTCGGTGCACCCGGCGATCTGCGTAACACCATTCGAGCTACATCATGGTGGAGAGAAAGCACGGATCTTCGCTGATCTCCTTTTGCCACAGGCTGCCGACATAGACGTCCCTTGCTCTCCCGCTTCCATCCGGAAGTACCGGGACTTGCTGATCAAAGCCCGCGCAAATATGCAAAAGGCTCAGATCCGCATGCAGCAGCAAGCTAACCGACGTCGACTTCCATGTCCTTTCCGCGAGGGAGACCTTGTTTGGGTCCTCTCCGAGGAATTTGCGCTCGAGCAGGATGTTTCGCGCAAACTCCTTCCGAAATGGTTCGGACCATGGGAAGTCACTTCTGCCGTTGGAGACGACCCCGCAGGTCCTTCCTTCGGGATCAACATTCATACGCCACCTTCAACTGACGAGTTCCCTGGACATCGATCACAGGATCCGCGTTCTATGGACGGACATCAGGAAGTAGACCGCGTCATCACGCACCGCAAGTATGGCAACAAGCCAAGGCAGTACAAAGTCACATTCAAGCAATGTGCGCCCAATGACATTCGGTGGATCTCCAGTACAGATTTGCAGACTTCTGCACCCCTCATCTTCGCCGACTATGAGAAGCGACGCCTTGCTAAGGACGCAGCTCGTCCCGCCCGACCCACCCCGGTATCGGACAGACAACTTCGCCCTCGCAGGTAGCTCGGTCTCTTAAGAGGGGGAGTGTGTGACATCTTCGACGCACACGGGTCCTACCGGACCCGACTTAGGGCCGGAGGGACACATCAGGGCCTAAAGGCCCGACCTTTGGATTCTACAGGCCATAAAGGCCTCACCTTGGACCAGACCCGACGGGCAGGCCCAAAGGACATTACCGTTTGGGCCTGGCGGCGCTGTTGAGGCCGCCGCCCGCCGGTTGGGGCTGAACCGTCCAGCCAGGCCTCGCAGCAGTGAGGCCGGCCTCTGCCCACCGGTATAAAGAACCGGTCCGGCCTCATTCCAGGGATCGACCTGCCGGCATTGTACCGGTACGGTGTGGTACAGCGCAAATTAGCGCTGGCGCTAGCTTTAGCGCAGGAGCAGCGAGGAGCAGCGCAGCAGCAGCGGCACAGCGGCCATCACCGCCTCAGCAGCAGCAGCTGCAGGTACCAGGAGGCGGGGATCTACTCCTCCCTCCTCGGTCCCTTTCCCTCCTCCTCACCTTCGTCTCTCTCTCTCTCTCTCTCTCTCTCTCTCTCTCTCTTCTTCTTCTTCTTCTTCTTCTTCTTCTTCTTCTTCTTCTTCTTCTTCAGATTGGATACTTATACTAGTTGGACAGAGATCAGAGTTGGACTTCGGTGATATGAGACTGTGGTACTTACCTGATTGGAGACTTGGAGATCGTTGGGGTTGATACTCGGCTGCATCGCAGTTCGGACACCGGTTACATTTGGACTCTGTACCTCCGACATGGGTGACCTATTGTCCTCGACATTTTGATCTTGTTGGATGACATTTTGGACTACCATATCGGTGACTTATCAGATTCTATCTCGGTGACTTTTCAGTGCTGTCTACCTACCCCACCTCCTTCGTCTCTCCTCCCCCCATTCATCTGTGTATGTTGTGTACGGGGCTGAGCACCTTCTTTGTATGGCTCAGACCCCACCCTCTCACGATTGTATGTGTGTGGAGTGATGCTATGTGAGTCAGTCTATGTGAGTCAGTCCGTTTATCAGACTTCCGTTGCATCTATACTCATCCTACATTGGTTGATTCTTGGTTCTGCCCATACTCATTGGAGTATGTAACACCTAATTTGTGCTCGGCCGAACATCTTCGGTTCCCACTCGGCCAAGCGTCCGAACATGTTCGGCGTGCTACACAGGTCTCACTTATGTTCTTATTAATAGAAATGGTTCAATGATTGGTGGTGATTTTCATCTTCCTTTGTCCACTTCGGTTGTATTTCTGATGAATAAGCAGTCTTTCATGCTGAACTTACTTGAGTGTATGGGTGTCTATGAGGATGTAGGGGATCTGCATGTGGACTTTATATTCAAGTTTCCGTGGACGTTAGCAGAGTTTAAGATTGTACTTGGCCATGTTTTGTGCAGGGCCTGAGCCTGAAGCGGGCAAAGTTTCACAAGTGTCCACTGAGCCAATGGGCAAGGATGGTGAAGTCAGCAGACAGGAGGTAAGATGGAAGTTACCTGTTTTGGACTGTCTTCTGTTGTTTCTCTCGTGTTCTTCTGCATGCCCCTCCCTCACCCTCCCTGCATATTCCCCCCTGCCTTCCTTTCACCATCCATACATGCAACATGGGTAGGGATGTGAAGCACACCTGTGCATGTTGATGTGTGGAGGTTAAGAGTAATAACAAATAAGAATTCAGACACGCGGCGAGTTCGCTGGCAATGGAGGGGGTACAGCCGTTGGAAAGTAGGTGAACCACACCGTGCATGTTTGTGCGTGGTGATAACTAATAGTAACAAGACAGGGCCAGTGCAGCTTCACCGGCATGAGTAATGGTGGTGGAGTAATTTGGAGGTATAGTGAAGACAACAATAGCGTTGAGGTGCTTTCATTTATGAATTGAAGGTGTGGAGCGTCCGTTGGATGGTTGGATTAGGAGGAAGGGGAAAGATGTCAAAAAATCCCGAGCAAAAAGGGATGACCGAGTAGCAGCATTGCTCTCCTGGACGTTGTTGATTGTCTGTTTCAGCAAATTGCAGCAGCGACAAAAAAAAAAGAGATGTTGTTGGAGTTGCTTTTGAGTTTTTAACGATTGATAATCATGCCAGTAACAGAACAATCAAGAAAGGAAATTTGGAAGATTGCAAAACACAGCTGTATTCTGAGGACAATTATAGAGGAGTACTGGTGATTATGCGACACCGGGAGAGGGAGCAGTACTGAGGCTGAAGAATGGGAATAGAAAACAGAAAGGAGAGAGGAGTTTGTAGGGTGTTATGCCGCTGATTGCACATGAACAGACGGGATGTGGTGAGTGCTACAGTGGGAATGCAGAATGAGCAGAAGAAGGAAAAGTGGAAAAGATGCATATCATAAATCTTTACACAGAATGGGGGATGCATGGCGGAGCAAATTTGGGAGTGTTTCTCACAGACTAGTAGAATTGTTGTTGTGTTGCACATTGTGGAAGAGGCAAAGCAAAGAGATCAGGGAAGAGAAATGCATGTGAAAGCTAGGTATAGAGAACTGGATACAAAGGGAAACACATAGGAAGCAAGGAAGATTACAAAAGTGGGAAGGAGTGAAACAGAAATGTGATCGAGAACATTGGGAGCAATGACATGGAGAATTGCAAATGCCGCCAAAAAGGAGATGTCTTTGTGAGAGCAAGGCACCGCTTCATTAAGGAGGTTGGTCACAGAAAGATGGTTTCTTTCTGCTGGCCAGAGAGAGTCGTGACCAACACCCAGAGATATGTCGACGAGGGCGCAGCACTTCGTGTATCCTTTTACACACGGCGCACCATAACCAAATATTTGCTTCACCAATGAAGGATTTCGTGCAACAGAACGTATCAATGGGTGTCAAGAGTGATGCCCATATGTCATTCATTGTCTGTTTTTGTGTATTTTGTTCATGTCTGTTTTTCCATTTGACTGTCAGCATCCATTTCTGGTATCATTCACACTTGACATCACGAACGATGTTATGGGAGGGAAGGGAAACTTTTATTGTTATTCCTTGGCGTACTTTTGGCAGTGCTCTTTTACTAACTTTTCCGGTTGAGTGCTTCATATTTCATTTCGACGCGAGTTTCATTTGTGCATGAAATGGATGTGCATCGACTCGCCAGCCATGGTAACCGTACTTTTGTGTGTGTGCGCGTGTGGGGAGAGAGAGAGAGAGAGAGAGAGAGAGAGAGAGAGATTCCATTATGTTTCGGGACCCTCAGAACCCTTGAACCCCCAGACCCTCAGAACACTAATCATGATTTCTGGATGGTAACCTTGGAACGAACTTGGTTGAAGGTGATGATTTACGTGGGTGGGCAGTAGTACGGCAAGTAGAATGGGAGGATGAGGAGGATAGTAAGGGCGGAACAAATTGATTGTGATATTTAAGCAGGAGGAGAGCTGAGTGAGGAATGGCAGGGAAGAGGGTCTTCACCCCTTATATCTATTAGCTGAGCAGTCTAGAGCTCTTCACCCCTGATATCTACTTAGCTGTGCGGTCTGTACAGTTTGCATTGTGTGAGTCGCCCATGTTTGGCATGACCTTGTTGGCTGGCGGGCCACCAGATGTCTGACAGTGTTGCTAACTACAATTTAAAATGCAAAAGATAGGCTGTTGTAAAGTTAAAGGAACAGTAAAAAAACAATCTTTGGAAGAAAAAGGGGGAACACGACAAAGAATCCTGTCCCTGGTGACGAGCGTGCCATGCTCTGCTTAAGGTGAGCCTGCACCCCCTCGAACACCTCTGGATGTAGCGTTTCATGGTTATCCTTTGCTTCTCTGCGTATTTTCATCCAGCCCCCATCCAACTCTTTAGTCCTACCCTTTTGATCTACACCCAGCATTCTTGTCTTGCAAACATGCAATCAAGATGATGTATTCCGTGTTGCACCTTACGGTGTTGCCTGTATGCAGAAAGGTGTGAGTGCACATTTCTGCATCCTCGCTGCATTGACATGACATTTATGAACCGATTGGCGGCATTCATCACTTTTTCCCAGCATGATGACTGGCGTGTGTGGCCTTTGACGTAGTTTGTTACTCGACTTTGTCGCTTGGCTTTTACCAGGAAATGAAACAGGCATCCCCTGTAAGGGGTATGACAGCTGTGGAGACAATCGGCAATGGGGAAGTGAGGAATGAGATAGAGGCCGAGCTCACGCCATGCGGTAACCCTGTGCTGATGACAGTGCCTCCAGAATTGGGCACAGAGCGATGCTTAACGGAGGACAACAGCATGGATGGGGGCCTAAAGAGGCAGAGACAGGAAGATCTGATGTGGAAACAGGACAAGGTGCGTAGAGGTGAAGAGGACACATCTGTGGGAAGCCAGAGGGCATCTGATCTCCCTGGATTGAACTCGGAAGCAGCAGAAACTGGACAGAACTGTCTTCAAAGTCAGAGCTCAATGGAGGGAGTCGGGGAGGCTGACATGGGGCAGACTGACACCGGGGTTGTGGATTTACCACCTTCGGGAATAGGTGATGGAGTCCCCAAAGCAAAGATGGAAAGCTTGGTCATGGACAGTCAATGCGATAATGTTGCAGGAGAAGTTGGAGGGAAGATGTTCCCTGGAAATTTACAATTAGGTGTCTTAGAAGCACCGAACAATGGTCTATTGGAAGTGGCGTTAACGCAAAAGAGTGAAATGCCTCTCACTGAAACGGTGCAGAGAGTGGGGATATCGATCGGAAGTGGTTTTCCCGCAGGAGATGCCAATAAGGCTGCGGAGGAGGTAAAGGCAACCGGAAGTGGTTTTCCCGCAGGGGATGCCAATAAGGCTGCGGAGGAGGTAAAGGCAATCGGAAGTGATTTTCCTGCAGGGGATGCCAATAAGGCTGCGGAGGAGGTAAAGGCAATTCAAGATTTAGCCCAATGTACACGTGTGCAAGAAGGCCCCAAAACAGCCCATGAAGCATTGGAAGGCGTTTCAACAAATGAGGTGGATCTGCCTCGATGTCCGGACATTGTGAAGGTACGCTGTGCTCGTCATGAAGTAAATGCATTCTGATAGTTACGTTTGTGACTGCTAAGGCTAGATCATTTGTGTTTTTGATCTCATTCTTTTGTCAGTGATTGTTTTTTCTGAAGGACCAGTGTCTGCTAGGGCTGTTATTGGTGGACTTTGGACGTGCCAACCCCTATGTGTAGCCTCTTTACTACTATGTGACTTAGCTAAGGAAGTCTGCAGAGAGGTGGACTTTGGTGCCTTTCTTTTTTGTTTCCCTCGTGTAAGAGAAATGGTGCAGAGAGGTCATCATCAGCAAACTTAGAGAAGGGAGAGGGACACTCACCTGTGGGTTTTCTACCTGTTGTTTTTTTTTTTTCCTGTTTTTGAAGTTGTGGCAGGGGTGCAAGGGTGAGGGAGATGCACGTGTTTTCACCTATTGGCCGTTGTCAGCGAACTTACATAAACTGCTCAACACAAGGGTGATGGGCACTCACATGTTTTCATTCTCTTTTTGAGGTGCTGGCGGGGGGGGGGGGGGGGTGCATGGGTGAGGGAGACGAACCTGTGTTCAGCTGTTGGCCGTCATCAGCGAACTTCCAGAAACTGCACAACACGAAAGACAACAAACTGACAAGAGCAAACAGACGTAAACACAAACAAACTGCAACACGGAGAAAGCTGCAAGACTGGAATGTTGTGACAGTATTGCACCACTGCTTAGAGAATTTGAGTTCATTCCTGAGTTTTGCAAGGAACCGGTCAATGAGAAAGGAAATCTTCCATGCAGCAAAAAACTCAAAGCAGAATCAGCAAATATGAGCAGAATACCAAACCGAGTGCACACCAAAAGAGTACATAATGACGCTGAAGTCTCTTGACAATGAAAGCCCAACTTCTCACCTCCACCCGTCAATACAACCACAATTTAGTAGCTCTCCTATCATGTGCCACCTGCTCACACTGCTGTCCTTTTTCCCTGATCACCCCATCCCCAGCCCACCTTCATTGTTGGGGCAGCTATGGCTGCCGAGGAGCAGAGCAGCTATCGGTGGCTGCCCCTCCCTTTCTCCTTCGCCAGTGCTCAGGGTCTGGCCACTTGTGCTTAGAGCAGAGCTAGTGATGGCAGCCATTGCCTCCGAATGTGTGGGAGGCTGTGCCCTACTCTCCTTTTGTCCCCTTTTGCCTGGACGGCACTGGGTTTGTCCCAGTCTGAGAACCTGAGAGCCTTCCAGACTCGGTACCTGGGCTTCAGCCTCTGCAACCAACTTGGAGGCCAGACCTACCGGTTAGGTGGAGAGGCTGTGCCCAGCCTTTATAGCTTCCTCATGCCGGCCTCCCCAGAGGCCTGGCATAAATTTTGCAGGCCAGGCGTTCACTTAGGGCTGGGTCATGTTTCCATGGGCTGCCCCTTTCCGGGTGCCGGTGAGGCCGGAAGGGGCTCACACTCCCACCCCCTGAGGTTCAGAGCCCTCTGTGTAACCCTTCATCTTCTTGCCATTGCTTCCTTTTCAGAGCTCGTTCGTAGTGTAGAACCATTCGAGGTGCAGGCCTCAGTAGTGCAAGCCACCGATCTTCTTTAGGATCCAGATCACCCTTGGAAAGCAACTCTGAGCTGCATCTGGCTTGGGTGGTCTTCCTCTGACCTGTGGCTTCTGCACAGGCATACCTCTGTGCTCCACAATTCAATTATGGTTGGGACCAGCATTGCTCTGCGCAAAGGAAAATGATCACTGTGTGTATATGGCACAAAGTTGGATACGTGAAAGACACGGTGAGTGTGGAAATGTGGCGGAACATCAATCACGCTGGAAGGGCTCATTGCGATCGTTCCCTACGAAATAGGCTGGGGAGTCTGGGGACTGAAATACTGTGGTAATAACTCCGTTGATGTGTTCTGATCTGGACTGAACTCTGATCACCTAGCCCAAGCTTTATGACCTACCTGGAACATGGACACACCCCTGTCCTGATTTTCTGAGTCTATCTTTGATTTCTGTAGCTGCTCTACAGTTTGTTCCATCATCTTTTCGTATGCCAGCGCGTTGGGGTCTGGAAACAGATAATCCAAGGGAGTTCTTGGCTTCCATCCCAAGTGCAGTTGATCGGGTGCCGCATGGGTTGCATTGTTATAGAGCCCAGCTATCTGTGGCAGTTTGACATCCAAATCAATCTGATCAGGAGACATGAAATGCCACAGAAGATGATATAATTGTTTTTTCGTCTGCTTAGCCTGTCCATTAGTTTCAGGGCGATTCCCTGAAGTCATTTTGAGTTGAGAATCCAGTCTCTTACCAAGGTTCTGCCACTGTTCACTTGTGAAACGGACATCTCTGCCACTTATGATTGTTTTCGGTAATCCAAAGTCTTTGATCCAATGATGTTAGTGGATACAGCAATTACACTGTCGTAGCAGTAGAGGGTAGGCGTATGAATCTTGCTCGTTTAGAGAAATCTGTCTGTACTGACCAGAATTTCTTATTCCCCTTTCTGCGGCCAGCATGTCCATGAATAAGCCTAGAGGGACCTGTGTCCTAGGTTTGTTCGCCTGACAAACATGGCAACTCTTGACATACTTCTGGGCATCCCTCGTCATGGCTGGTCGCCAAACCTGTGCAATGTAACACTAAACTAGGCTTAATGGTGGAGTATAGCCGTGCGAAGGCTAAGATTGAGGTTTCAAATCCCTTTTTCCGCTTGTCAGCTTCCTTTGCTGCCTGGCCAAGAAAAGAATGGAGTCGACACCACCCCAGGGTGGGAACACTTCGCGGCATCTGTGTCACCAAGTTTTGGGTCCTAACCGGTAATTGAAACAGGCCTAATCAACAGAGACTTTCTGCAAAATCACTAAACTACTGGTAAAACGGGTGCTACTGTTAAACTTCGTTTCCGGCCTAAACAGACTGTCGCTTTACTTTTGCCTCAGACTGGTACTGTTGTTACTGGAAAACACACCCATAATTGTTAGTTTGGTCTTAGGCACTAGGCAGTCTAGTCTGATAGGTTAGAATGAAACTATTAATAGAATGGGTCCGAAGGGTGAGAGTTCTCTAGTTGCTCCTGTTGATGCCGCTAGGCTGCTGGAGAAGCACTGTAGCTGGGAAGCTGCTGCTAGGGTTTCGGGCAGCAGTGAAGCAGCCACTTGATCCAAGAACAGCCAGCACCAGCACCACGAGCAGCTTGGAGAAGGAGAACCATGCAAAGAGCATATAATTCCTTTTCTAGGTGGACTGGCGACTGTGCTAATTTCTCAGGTGTTCTTCCGGTATGTCCATCGCAGCCTTTCTAGAAGTCTGTAGGGTATTCAATTTCCGTCTTGTCCCTGTGGTTTCTACGGGAGACAGAAACTACAGGATAAGCACGCAGTTGATGCTCCACATAGCAATCATCACACAGGGACTTGGACATATACAAGTGAGCAGGAACTTCACACAGAAGATTGAAATCGCAGTGAATCTGGCCATCAATCAGCAGGACTCAGAAAACACACAAATCTCAGACTGATTCTATGCGGGTAATTGCAAAATGTTAATTTTCCTCCTGGCAGTGCTGATGTTGCATGGTGAGCTGCAATTTGTGTGTGGTCACGGGCTTGAAAATCTTCCTGTGAGTACATGAGCCTGATTGCTGGCCATGCTGTATGTGGTTGTGAGAAGTGTCTTTTCACTCCGAGCATGTGTGGGGTCATGGCCAATTTTTGTGGCAGGCCAAAACAGCAATGCATCCTCCATCGGGGACTGGGAGAAGCTCTTCGAGAGGTAAAGAGCGTGCTGCTGCTAATGGTGGAGACATGAAAAAGATGTCAGACAGACGGATGAGCAGGCATCTGAGATCTGAGGAAAAGGCAGGTGATGCATCAAGCCGCATCAGGCAAAGCTCAAAGACATTGGGGAAGGATAGCCATTCAGTGTCCAGTCGGTTGTCGGTGCCATCATCCGAGCATGGGAGTAAAGAACGGAAGTCATCGAGCTCCGAACATGGGAGTAAAGAACGTAAGTCTTCGAGCTCCAAATCAGGGCACATTTCATCAAAGGAAAGGCACAGACATTCCTCTTCGAGTGCAGGAAAAGGAGCTGATGGAGGAAAGAACAAGGAGTCCTCTTCAACAAGCAAAGGAAACACTTCCACGAAGGATACCAAGGCTAGTCAGAAGGATTCATTGGCGGCTCAAGGAGGTTCGAGTGCTGTATCTAGCGCCAAGCGCGCTGATGGAACATCCACACGACCCAATGAGAGTGGATTGTTTAATGTGCCTGAGGGCGGCTGGACTTATGTTGATATGAATGGGCAACGTCAAGGACCTTTTACACTATTTCAACTGCAGGGCTGGAGTCTAGCCGGGTATGTATGAGATAACTGATGCCTATTTGATTGGGGTTGGGAGACATGTTTTGAGTGTAAGAAAAAATAGGCTCCTGTGTTCAATTGCTTCTGGCTGAACAGCATATTGCAGGGGCTTATTGCATACACTCTCTGTGGTTGGAAGGTACGGAGAGTGGACGATGAACCTTTATCTGTGTGTGCGTTGTAGATTCTCACCACGACCACCCCTGTTCCACCCAGATCAGTAGATCCAAAATCGAAGCAGCTTTACCTCTATTGCAGACAATGAAGCACACTTGAGATGAGCCAATACATGTGTGTGTGTGTGTGTGTGTGTGTGTGTGTGTGTGTGTGTGNNNAGAGAGAGAGAGAGAGAGAGAGAGAGAGAGAGAGAGAGAGAGAGAGAGAGAGAGAGAGAGAGAGAGAGTGTGTGTGTGTGTGTGAGAGAGAGAGAAAGAGAGAGAGAGAGAGAGATGACTGTTATGGGGTATCATTCTCACTATCCTTAACTGAAGTTACCACCCACCGTGGCGAGAATACGCAATGTGCCAATGAAGCATCTACTCGTCTTTCATGACTTTGTTATTGCCTCATCAAGGAGGTTCCGTTGTAGTAGCATTCACAGTATACTTTCTGACTGCAGCATCATTCTACCTATGCAGTGAAAGATCTTGAAATCGGTCCGTCTGGTTGGTGTGTACGGCTATGAAATGTTCCAAAGTGCTTCATTCACGTTTTGTAAAGCTGAGCATTCCTATGTTCCTTGAATTGTCTCCGTTAGTCGATGGATGAAGGCTGTAACTGTTGTCTTTCTTTGTCGGCAGTGTTTACTGATGGCATGCTAATACCAGCAGCTGTGGCGATTGTTGTGCTGAAATATCTTGGCTTGGTGTTTCGTGTTAGCATTGCTGACTCTTCCTTTATCCTTTCTTACACTGTCATCTCTCTTCCATACGTCTTTCTTGGCCATCCTTGCTCCACCTTTCCTCTCTCTCTCTCTGTCGTTACTTTGTGTTCCCTTTCTGAAATCCGTTTCACATTGTTCAAGGTTGCTGTTATTGGAGGTGGTTGTATCAGCATCTTGTGGTCAAGCACACAGACGTGGCAAGTCCGACACCTGAAAGGCACAGTAAAACGGAAGAATGAAAGAAGAAAGAAAGAGGATGTGAAGAAAGACAAAATGAAAAAAGAAAGAAAAACACAGGAAAAGGCAAAGAGACTGGTCTTAGTGTGACTGACGATGTCTGTCCCCTTGCTCATTTCTTTCACCAACTGTGCTCTTCTGGACATCAATATATGTTGGTGGTTGGTGGGGCGGGCATGCGGGGCAACCAAAGTGGGTACATAGGCATATCCAATTTGTATCAGGATGCTTTCTGTGATGCCTCATGATGTCTTTCTCCTTGTACATTACTATGATGACAAGGCGAAGAACTAGGTGGTGAGCAAGACGGAGAAGGGCCAGAGTGGCAGGTCGCTGTCCGTATTGTGGAAGAACGGTGTATTTTTGTCGGCTACGTCTGTAGGTTGAGTCGTTGTCATTGAGTCACTGGTTCTCACGCCTCGTAGCTGTGTCATTCTGACTGTGGACGTATGAGGAGAAACTAGCAATGAACCACATTCAATCAAAACTGGTCTTATTTTGCAACAAACTATGATGTGTTTGACAGGTGGATAATGTATTCTTTTCTTGAAGGCTGTTTCGAAGTGTTTGACAGGTGGATAACTTGGTCTTTTCTTGCTGTTCTGTGCAGTCATATGCATGATCAGATGGTGATCAATCACACTGAGAAAGGGCTGCTTATAACCCTCGCTCTTGCACTCCAGAGGACTCGTGGGACTCCTCATCTCAAGTCCACACAACAGCAGCAACTTCGTCAGGGGGGCGGACACCTCCAGTCAGCTCAGCCACAGTCAGAACCACAGATGTCACAAGTCCAGGCACCCCACTCACAGCAGCCATCGCAATTGCCACAAGGGCAATTGTCACAGGTGCGGCCATTGCAAGTGCCACAGGTGCAACAGGCACAATTACCACAGGTGCAACCATTGCATTTGCCACAGGCGCAGCCATTACAAATACCACAGGGGCAGCCATTGCAATTCGCACAGGTTCAACCATTGCAACAACCTCAAGTGCAACCATCACAATTACCACAGATGCAGCCATCACAATCGTTCCATGTCCAGACATCACAGCCGTCGCAAATGCAGCCCCCACAAACCTTCCAAGCTCTGCCACCACAGCTACCGCAAGCTCAGCCACCACCACTCCCACAAATGCCACATTTGCATGTCCAACCACCACCACAGCAGCTACTTCCACCACAACCACCACAGTTGTTTCAATTGCAGCAGGCGCCATTCCCACAGCAGCCCCAAGTTCCCCCGCAACTTACACACGTGTCTCTGCAGTGCCAGCAGTCGTTACAGGGACAACAGGTCCAGCTACTGCAGCTGCAACAGAACCAGCAACAAACTCACCATGCTTTACAGGTGCAGTGGCAGCCCCAACAGTGCATGCCACCAGATCAGTTGCCACTCCCACCGCCTCCTCATCAGGGACACGTGAATGCTTTCCAGTCACAGCAGCCTCCACAGCTTCCAATCAGGCGTGTAACAGCCCCTGCTAACTGTCAAGTACCGCCCCAACCACCCCCACCACCTCCCCCACAACCTCCTCCTCAACCTCCTCCATCGGCTCCCCCGATCAACTCTCAGACAATTCCACCGCCCCCACTTCAGACTGGCATGACACAGGTACCCGCTCCAAGACTCTCTCAAACGCCTCCGAACCGGCTTCCATTTCCTCCAGCAATGCCCCCAAGTGTATCCCCCCCACCATACCCACCGGGGTCACAACCACTTTCACAATCATTCATTCCCCCTCCTCATATCTGTCCTCCTCCATTTTGCTCACAAGGGCCCTGGTGTCCGCCCGGCACGTCTCAAGTATCGGAAGTGCCTCTTCCAGGTCCGCCACAGTCCTTTCCATCTATGTCTTGTCATGTGGCTCCACCCCCCCCTATCTCCTCCGCAGTTGCCTCTCAGCCTCCTCCACAACGGCCTGTGGTTGCTGGTCAACAAGGCGCTCAACCCTTAGCAGTGACTTTGCCACCCACTCAGGTTGGGTCACAAGTGCCGTCGCGAATCCCTGCACCGCCCTCCTTGCAGATCGCAACAGAGCCATTTGGGCAGGTGCAACCAATGGAGCTCAGCTTGTCACCTTGTGAATCACATGATGGCGACTCCTTTACACAGCCACTGAAGACAGGTTCGAGCATCCCTGATGGTAAAGCACATCAGGAATCTAGCTCTACAGGATTCCAGGGATGTTTTACGCCCCATTCGGTATCACACAAATTGCCGAGTGTGGACTCAATTCCGTCACGCGATTGGTCACCGCAATCATGGTCACAACAGGGATCACAGCGGCCAACTCCTCCAGATACCACCCCACTCTCCCCACAGCTGCGTCATATGATGCCTCATCGGTCTCAGTTGTCACCAGTGAAGCCTAGGATTCTATATCATGAAATGTCTCGACAGGATGCGAGTCAACAGGGACAACATCAGGGGATGCAGCGAGAGATTCTAGACCAGCAGCCACCACATAACCATCGTGGCATGAGACCAGAAATCGATGGAACCCCATGCACTGAGGGTGAAGATTCAAGGCATCACCCTAGTCCACTTCAAAAGGAAGCTGGAGGAGGGTTGTCATCTGGCAGAAAACTGGATGGGTGGATGTATAAAAATGCATCTGGTGGGCTAAGTGGTCCGTATTCAACCGAACAACTGGAGGAAGGTGTGAGGACGAACTTCCTGTCTGATCTTATGCCCGTGCACTGGTGCCCTGAGTCGGGTGATCTTGAGCCGGCCATTCCTTTGAGGGAAGCACTGCTGCAGGGGAGGGGTTTGGACCCTCTATCATCCAGGGCACTTCCTGAGCATCATCATATGGCCAGTAGAGAGAAGGAACGCCCTTCCCGCATGGACTCCTTTAGCGGGCCAGGGAGTGCAGCTTTAACACGGGAGAATGCACACTATGCTGAAACACACCGGATTGGATCAAATGCTGCATTTCCATCCCACTCCAGATATGGACCCCATTCACCTGAGAGAGATGTTGATGGTCACCTTCCAAATAGAGTTTCTTCATATGACTTGCTCCCATCATGGGGTAGTTCAAAGGTACCCTATTTGCCATCATCTCACTATCAGTACAATTCTCTACAGTCAGGGCACTCCGCTCCTCCTCCATCGATACATAGGTCTGTGAATGAAGGGGTTCGAAATGATTTACTATTGCGTTCACAGCAGACAATTGAAGACATCTCTGGCACAAGTGGCCCACACCAGGGCCAAATGGGTTGGCGTGAGATAGACCGGATGTCGCAAGGGCCTATGCACCGGTGGATGTCTGAAGGGGCTGGTGCCACTCGTGGTCAAGCACACATGAGCGATCTGCCAGATGGGGAGGCTGGACGGGCATCTTCACCGCCTTTTATGAGATCTGCAACTTCCAAGGGTTCTCTGCATGTCATGAGTGAATCGACTAGCCGGCTGAGGGATCAGGCTGAATTACCCCCCCACGATTTTAAAGCTGCATCTGATGCACGTGCTCCAGCAGATAGCAAATATCGCTACTTGTCTCCCAGTCTTAAAAAGGTATGGTGGATTTTCCACTCTATTTTGAGCCTTCTGGTTGTTGCCTGGAGTGGCGAGCCATTTGTTATGATATTTTGCTGGTTTCTTTGCTGGAGTCGTTTTTGTCCTGGATGGTTGACTGGCTTTGTCTTCTTGCTATCAAACCTTTGAGGTTGGTCAACAGGGAAGAACATAACCTGAATGGTCGATAGTGTCACAACAATCGTCTGAAAATGTTGAAAAAGCAACTGAGGTGGACCATCTAGTGCATTGGTCTCCTGGGAGAATGTGGGAGTGTTGCATTTGTTGATTGCTTAGGATCATACATGAAGCAGATGCTGTGCAGAAAATTCTGCACGTCTGGCGCACGAGCGGACCTGCACGGTGCGGCGCATGGGAGAAATATTCACTAAAAAAAAAGGGGGGTCTCAAAACCGTCGCATGGCTGGGTCAATGGTCACCTGCGTCCCCTTTAAAAGATTTGTTGTGGGATGGGAAAAAGAAAAAGAAACTCGTGGGAGGGTAATGCCGCTACCTAAAGGTCATGGCTGATGTCCCAGACACCTTTTTGACGCTATTCTCATGCCCAATTGGACGGGAAGAAGAATCTGTACGACTGTACTTGAAAATATCAGCTCCTTAGGTGTTGCACTCTTCTGTATTTACAAAAACAGCGAAAAAAAACACAAAAAAAGGCAAACTGCCGCTGATACGGCGCACTGCACGCCGTACGGCGCACGGTGCGGTTGGAAGTATGCTTAGAATGACCTCGTACATTGTTGGATAACATTTGTCAAACTTTTTATTTTTTATTTTTTTCTGAGACAGAGAGGTACTGCAGAGGTCGTGTCCTCGATGGTCTCCACGTGTGGTAAGATAATCAGGATACTTGTGGGTCCTGGAGCCAAAGGCTTATGAACTTCCGGGCCCTCCAGCAGAAGGCTTATTAACTTCTGGGCCCTCTCATATACTTTTCGGCCCTCCAGCGGAAGGCTTATCGACTTCGGTCCTCTACCTTCTCCCAGCCTGACGAACCAGCCCCAATCTCCGTGGTCTATTTCTAAATCTGGTGATGTACCTATCTGGTGTCTTAAAGATCGTTTCAGATTGAGATTGCTGTCCTCATCTGCTGGCTTGCTTGAGTGCTTGTTGCCCTCTTCCTATTTTTCTGAGATTCTCCGTACTGGATTCTATGATGATTGAGCATTCTTCTTCTACTTTTCGTTATTGTTTTACCCATCTCCTGTATTTCATATATTTTTTCTGCGGTTTTTAGTTGTGTAGATGTGGTCCTGATATATCTAAGATCTACTGAAGGATTTGCTTGGCATCTGTCCGTTGCCAGCTCCCTTTCTCACTGGTGATTTCTACTCTGAGAAGGGTCCTGTATGCTAAGGTCATGTTTTCTCTAGTATTGCTTCCTTGCTTAACTCCAGGTTTTGACAGCCTTTACGTTGGTCTCTCAGCTGGATTGTTCTTTCACCTTCTTTCTTGATCCTTCCATCGGTGCTCTGTTTTCTATGTACCCGTCTCCATCAACCACTTGTAGGGTCACACACTGTTCGCTGGGTGGTTCCTTACTGTCCTGTTCAGGGTTGCACCCCCCAGCGGTCGGCGGCCCTTAACTGGTTGGCTGCTGACCCGCTGACTGATCGGTTGGTTCGCACCTACCGGTCGGGGGTCGCCAGCTTGGGGTCCAGAACCCCTAATAACACCACCAACACCACCATAGCTGGCTGCTGACCCGCTGACCGATCGGTTGGTTGGCACCTACTGGTCGGGGGTTGCCGGCTTGGGGTCCAGAACCCCTAATAACACCACCAACACCACCATAGCGGCCCCCAATACCCCCATACACCCCCCCAACACCCCCAACTGGGCCCAACACCCTCATTAACCCCCCCAATACCCCCTATATCACCCCTATACTTCCCCTATACTCGAACCCCAACCCCCCCATACACCCCCCCAATCTCAAAAAGTTTCTCAGCGGATTTGGGCTGTACTCAGCAAGCGCAGTCCCTGTCTCTTATACACATCTAGATGTGTATAAGA